TGATAGAATACAGGACATTTTAGATGGAATTAGGAATGGTAATAGAGAGTTCAGTCGCACTTGTTTCGGTCACTTTTTAGGACTCGGAAATCATTGGAAAAAGGCATTTGGGGGCAGGGAGTGCATTAAAACATATAGTTCTTACGTCAGTATGAAACATGTAAAGTGTAGAATATATACCACTATGACAACAATATAGGGTTTACGATTCGTCTTGTGGGACTATGATCGTATTATATTTATATTAAACATATAGTTCTTTTACGTCAGTATGAAACATGTAAAGTGTAGATATATACCCCTATGCTAAACATATAGGTGGTTACGATTCATCTTTGTGGATTATGACCGTTATTATATTTATATTAAACATATAGTTCTTTTACGTCAGTATGAAACAATAAAGTGTAGAATGTATACATCTATGCTAAACATTAGGGTTTACGATTGTCTTTGTGGACTATGACCGTTATTATATTATATAAACTATAGTGTTTTTACGTCAGTATGAAACATATAAAGTATAGAATGTATACGTCTATGCTAAACATATAGGGTTTACGATTCGTCTTTGTGGACTATGACCGTTATATATTTATATAACATATAGTTCTTTTACGTCAGTATGAAACATATAAAGTGTAGAATATATACGTATATGCTAAACATAGAGTTTACGATTCGTCTTTGTTCAGAACATAAAGGGTGCGTTTGGTTGAATATTCATAAATATTATAAATCCTATTCCCATAATATTCTTGTTTAATTATTTAGCAAATATTAGTATTTTTTTTAATAAATTAGACCCATTAACTGAATTAATTTCATTAATACCGCCAAAAAAAGTTTCAAAAGTAACAGAAACACCCCTACCACCAAACTTCCCAGATTCCGGCGCCACCGATGGCTACAAACGATCGAAAATAGCCGGTAATTCACAGTGTGACATTTTTCAGCCAGATCCACTGTGGATCTGGCTAGAAAAAGCCACATCAGGCCGTCATCGACTTTCAAATGAAATACGGACGTTGTCAGTCAACGACGGCCCAATTGGGGATCGTTGATAAAAACCGACGGCCATATCTTTGACCATCACAGACGGCCAGATGTCATATTTTTTGTCCATCGACGGCCAGATATGGCCGTGATCTGGCCTTTTCCGGCACATCTGTGGTTAATCTGAACGGAAAAGGCCATATCGATGCCCTATCAACCTGATTGGCCGCAATGCATCGTAACACCCTTTCCCGGTAGGTTTCCGATGGTGGTGGCCCGAATCTGGGAAGTTCGGTAGGTGGGGGTGTATTGTCAAATTTTCAAATCTTTAGTTGGTCGATTAAGTGATGTAATAAAAGGAACTTCGTTTACACAAGGCTTAAGCGATCTATAGATATCGCTTAAGCGATTCTTTAATTTTTCAGTTGGTCGATTAAGCGATCGTGGATTGCTTAAGTGATCATGTGATTGGCAGAATCAAATCTGCCCAAGTGCATGATGCTTAAGCGATCTATAAGAATCGCTTAAGCGATTCTTCTCTTTTTGTCTTGGTCGATTAAGCGATCGTAAATCGTTAAGTGATCGTGCACTGGGCAGAATCAAATCTGTCCAGGTTCACGATGCCTTAAGCAATCCGAGATATCGCTTAAGCGATTCTTGTCTTTTTGTCTTGGTCGATTAAGCGATCGTGGATCGCTTAGGTGATGTGCCCTGGGCATAATCATCTGCCCGTTGCACGATCGCTTAAGTGATCCTAGATATTGCTTAAGCGATTCTTGTCTTTTTTTCTTGTCGATTAAGCGATCGTACAGTGGGCAGAATCATCTTCCCAGGTGCACGATCGCTTAAGCGATCCGTGATATCGCTTAAGCGATCCTTTTAAAAACCTTAGTTGCTTAAGTGATCATTGGCGATATATACTTTTCCTACTTTTCTCCTGAATTTTGACAAACTAAAATTACCAACACGTATTAATGCCATACTTCTCCTCAATTTGACAACCTAATTCCAAACTAAAATCAACAACAAATATTTAGGCCATGTAACAAGAAAATAAAGAATGATTTATTAAGGTAACAATAAAATTTATAACATCAATAATTGAAAACAATAACTCATCAACGGTTGGCCTTGTCAACTCCCTGAATTTCATCCTTCTTCGAACCTAATTTTCTGATCTGCATGTGATTGCTTTGGCAACTGCTTCTTTGTGGCCAGGTTGCTTGCAAATTGAGCAGTATCATTTTCCGCGGAACCAAAGGCTGATGGAATACGCTTAACTCTTTTTCTCCCTTTGCTGTCTTCTTGAATGGCGGGTGGATGATAATGTTAGCCACCTCTGGCGGCACTACCCACTACTCTCTGGAGGCATCAGATATATCGTTTCTAAATAAGCTAGCATGTAGTGATTTTGCATATAGAGAGGGGAGCAAAGTTCCATGTAAATTCTTGAACCAAAATCCAGCTTCCGTTGGTGTTTCAGTGCTGCTAGTGCATGAGGACAAGGTAAATGTTGAATTCAAACACTTTACAACTGCAAGTTTTTCTAACAAGGTTAACTAGAGCATCCGGACCATAGCTGCACACAGTGAACTCTTGAGCATTAAGAGAATAGGCAAACTGTGCATTTGACAGTTCCATGTTCTCGCAATAATTTTTCAGTGACGGAACAAGAGTTGTAGTAAAATTATTTGACTCCGTACGACGCTCATGGAACCACCGCGACAGTGTCCTTTGGATTGCATCAAAAAGTGCAACTATTGGAAACTCTCTTTCTATTAACAACTTCAAATTTATGGACTCGGCTATATTTGTGGTCATGACATCAAACCTTCTTCAGGAAAGTAAGCTCTACTCCATCGCTCGAAACCAATATCATGCTCAAGATACTTAGCAACTCTATCATCCTTGATTCGGATTGGGAAAGCTCCTCGAACGACATCAACCTGATAAGCCTTTACATGCCATGTAGTATGTCTGAAGGAGGCCAACACACTTAAACTTTGTTTTATGTTCTCACCAAGGTGCCTCATACAAAATCTGTGATGTGCTTGACGGTTAATAGTGGCAATCCCTTCTTTATAGAGTTGGTCTATCGGATATTTGACAACTCGTCAGTGTCAGGCATATCGTACATAACTATTGAAAAACCCAAGTCCGACCGTCATTTCAGAGTCAACCACACACCATGCAACAGGATTGTGTGATTTCGCTGTCCTGTGCAGTGGCCACCAACAATGTACCTTCATACTTTCCCGTCAGAAAGCAACCATCAACAGCCAACACCTTTCTCATGTTTACAAAACCCCTATAGTAGAACCGTAGCAATAAAAAATATTTAAACATCATATTCCTGTCCCACTTCAAAGCCGTCTTGCTACCTTGGTTTGTCAACTCAAGCATATAACGGTACGCTTCTAATCTGTGTACCCGTGCTCCGGCGTGCCCCTAACAAAATCTGTGCATGTTGTCTCCCTTTCCAGCATTTCTAGTAACTAACAGCACATCCTAACTCTGTGCGTACAAGTCTCTGAATGTCTTTAGGAGATAGACCTTTCCCTTCAACGAACCGAATTTTGACAAATTGTCCAATAACATCAGCGGACGCGTCGATGCTCACCTGAAATATGTTCCAAACCACAAGTGTGCTCACGGGTATATGTGCTAAGCATAAATTTTTCCGACTCCGCCAACCTTCTATAATAAATCCGCCACTTGCACTTCGGTCACGACATGCAACGTCACAGCCAATGAATTTGACTTTTTGGTGATGAACTCAAATTACCTCTCAACAGTTTTAGCTTCCTCACCACTTCTCTTTATTGTCAAATAAATACCCTATGTGCAACTCCGATCCATCCGTAAAAACATGAGCTGATTCACCAGTACTCCAATTGCCCTCTCTGAACCTGCATAAACGACCATGGTGTTCTCTTCCTCACAATCTACGTCTTCTGCATATCTGTATGTAAAGGAATCTCTACATCTGTGGGAACATCTACGGGGTCCTCCTCCTCAACATTTTCATTCTGCCCCCATCACCAACCGCTTCTACAGTGTCCTCCTCACCACCAATTTACCGTCTACTCTTGATTTTTCAACTAACAAATCATTGGCCTACGTGTCAAATTAAAACCAGGCAAATCTCCGCCTACTTCCTCGTTATCCCTTCCTTTGAACCAACGTCGACGGTTTTTCTACAAGAGAAACCCTTAAAATCGGCCTCGAACCATTATCGACTACATCAATCATATATAACTTCACACTTTCATCCGACTTTAATGTAGCAGGAGGTACCTTATAATGTTCAAGAACTCTGCTTAAAACATACTTCACAACTATATTACTACGCGAGCAACTCAAATTACCTCTTCTAATTATTTCATCAATCAACTCATCAAAACTAACCTCTGTGCAGGATACCCGGAACCGAACATCCCTAATGCTAATAGTGCCAGCATAACGAATGTCATCAACTAAATTACATATTTTAGTGAGAACATACAAATAAATTAAATAATATACAATGAAAAAACTTACAAATAAATTAAACTTAGAAGGAACTTTGATACTAAGTATTGGTAATTGAAAAAAAACAACTCCAAAGTACTGGTTGAAGTTGGGGTATTTTTATGGTCATATATGCAATTTATCATTTTTAAAAAACTGTCAGAACCGTTGGAAAATAAACTCTCAAGCTTAGATTGGGTGTTTTAAAAACTGCTACTAAAAACCTCTTAAAACCGCTATGGTGGTTTACCCTCAAAACCGCTACCATGGTTTACCTTTTTAACCACTATCATCAAACTTCCAAGCAGATATTTAGTGAAAGATAAGATTTTTAATAGCGGTGGCAGCTTTGGTGCCATTACTTTTTAAATATTGAAGAAAATTTAATTAAATCGAATCAATTTTGGAGTTATCGTAATTCTTTGAATGCTTAACTTCAATCAAATCAGAATATTTCCTTTCATTCTTACACTATCGAATTGGATTCAAATATTTCACAATCAGATTTAATATTAATCACTTTTTAAACAAGTTATCATCCAAAGCATAAATACACACTCGCGCACAAGTAAATAGATTTTCACCATTTTTTTAAATTATTATTATTTAAGCACAAAAGATAAAATAAATTGCAAAACAAAGTATGAACACATAATGATGCTTCATAGCTTACTTCCTCCTGAATTGGACAAGACGGCGCTTTCCGATATCCTGCATTTTTTAGAGTGCAAAGGTATAATAAGATCAATATGCAGATTGAGTTACAAGTCTTAGAATTGTTCATTGTTGTGGAAAGGTTTGGTCATGAAAAAATTGGTGAAGTCTTCTTAGCTAAAACTAAGCACAGGAAAACATCCAAAGTATATGAAAAAATGAAATATAGTTTCCAACCTTGGCACTTGCTCAAGATGATTCCAATAGATTTTGTATGTCTTTCTGCAAGAGCACACCACACATCAAACAATTACTCAAAGTTAACAGTTAATTATGCATTATCATACAAGAAAGATTGCTCTAACCTCGATCTTAAGAGGCGATGTCGTTGGAGCATATCTCGCCACAACCTTCCCTTCTTTGTCTGCCAGAAACTTTGTGAAATTCCACTTAATAGCATCTCCGAAGTATCCACCTTTCTCTGATTTCAGAAACTTGAAGAGAGGCGCTGTGTTTTTCCCATTCACATCAATCTACAATAACCAGCACATGTTTCATAACTTCTTTTTTCCCCTTTTTCAACAAGAAATTAAATCACTTATAGCTTCCTTTCTCACAAACTTATTGCTGAAAAAGAAAAAGAAACCAAATTTAAAGCTTTTCAAGCCAAGGCGAAGAAAAGAAACCCTCCCCAGCTCGTCAACTGTAAATTCCAGTTGTTTACTAATGGACTGGTAGTGGACTTTTGCACACTTGAATAGTCTTGTACGTACAATAACTCTATTTCCACTATTGGAGGACTGTTGCACAGAGAGGCAGCAGAAGCAAGATTTCTTAGTGCTTAGCTTCTGCGAGCAGTGGGCAGCAAGGCCAAAACTTAGTTAATCAAAGGCATCACCTGGACGGGCAGCTTTCCTGTCTTACCAACAAAAAGCATGATACCAAGCATATCTTTTTTTTGATAATCCAGAAATCCCCCGAACTTGCTTTGCAAGCCCGAGTTCAAAACTGGAGCCCCGCTAAACCTTGCAACCTTTGAAAAACGGGAAATAATGGTTTTTGGCCATGCAAGTAACCATGGGGAGCTCAAACCCCAAATTTTGTGAGAGCAAACCACAAACCTAACCATCCGACTAAGCCCTCATGGGTATGATCCCAAGCATGTCTTGGTCGGGATTAGGTAAAATGGGAAGCATATGTAGAATCTGGTTCGATAGACTTGTAAAATCTTTCACATATCAGGCGCTACCTTATCAAAGATTGGGAACTCAGCTTTAAACATGGTGCATACGGCTTCCTGGATCTCCTCATTGTTTCCTGGCTCTTGTCCAGCAAACTGATTGCAAGGAAAGGCTAAGATTTCAAGCCCTGCATTAACAGTGCCAATCAAGGACTTAAAAACTTCTAAATATCTAAAAAGAGAAAAAAGGTATGGAATTCGACTTTGTCACATGGTTTCTCAAGAATCAATAACAAACCTTTGTTTTTGTAGTTTTCATACAAAACATTCAACTCCTTGTAGTTCGACTGAGTTAAACCACTACAAAATGAATAACACAACATGAAAAAAAAACAACAAAATGACACAAAACAAGAAAATTCACAGTTTGGCAGTTAATCCAACAGTGGGAACCATAGTAAACTTCGGCATCACAAAAGTTCCAGAGGGGAAAAAAAACTATCGTCACCCTTCAGCTTGAGGATGAAAATGGTAACTTCCTTTTCTAGAATAGTGACAAGAGTTCCACTCTAAATTGAAGGAAAACAAATTCATCACACAAAGAGTTTTTTACCTGTACAATATCTAGCCATTGTGTGGAAGCTAAAAGAATCAGTCGTAGTGTCTTTTGGCACAATTAAATGCACCAGACCAAAAGAAACCATTAGAAAGTCTTTGCTTAAATTACCTCCAGCTATTTATACTCTCAAAAATGTTATTGGTTCACCGATGCACTTATAAAGACATGTTTATTCCTGTGCATGGGAATTTTTATGATCTAATGCAAAAGTTTCATCTTTGCCACAGTTCTTTCACCATGATACCACAATGACCAAAATCAGTTTCAGCTTAAATAAAATTGTGAAATTCAACATTTAATGGGAGATGCAGCAATAAAATCCATCCAATTCTCATGGAGCATTCAAGGAAAACGGGAAGTATTGTCTAAATATTAAAGTTCTTTCTCGATAGCAAATGTTCAGTACAAACGTCAAGTGCTTATTGTTTGTAAACTTTAAACTCATTTCTTAAAATTAGATGGCAAACATTAATAACCGTTTTTAGATTCCAAATATCTATGATAATCAGAGCAACTTTAAAAATAAAATCAGCAACCAAGATTAAAATTACGAAGACACTTCCTTATTCTTCAATACAGCCATTAATCGATACCAGCAATTTGAAAATAGACAGATTCGTTCAAAGCTTTAGAAAATGATAAAGTCGATCATGACTAATGGTGCTAAAGATCTCACAATAGATCATTTTAAGTTGCAAAAGGGAGAGAGAATCCAGACAACAGGAAGCAAATTATGTACCTTGATAACAAGAATAGGGATCAGAATGTTTATATCCGATTGAATAGCTAATGATTATAGGCAATTATTAAATAGGCAACTAATTGTGCCAAGAAATCGTAAAAGAAAAAAATCAAGAAAGAATACCATTTTGAGGCAACATTTACAATCAGGAGAACCTTCCCTCTGTAATCACTAAGACTCACATCATTTCCACGAATATCCTGAAATCAAATCAAGTTAAGCAGCTACATTGAATTACAAAACCTTAACTTTCAAAAAATATAAAGAAGAATAAAGTTGAGGTCTCATATGATTGATCTCTAATTTGCAAATAAAATATTCTTGATATCAAGTATGATAAACCATAATTAATAAAAAATTACACAAATCTTTCCCATAAAATCAGAATCATAGAATCTTATTCAAAATTGTCTTTTATTTTTCTACGCTTTCTGAACAATCCAAATAGAACAATACAAAGGAAACATAAACAAATTGTTAGATTTCTCACCAGAAACTCATAATCATGTTTCAATTAAAGAACATATGAAATAAAAAATAGCTCAATTTATTAACAATAAGACTACCAATCATATTCATGAAAAGACAAAACACAAAAACCAATAAAAACAAAGGCTTAAAACAGTTAAGAGAGAATTCATAAACACATATAACATCCGAAAATTATAAAATCCACATGTCAATAATAAAAGGGAAACAACTAAATTAAGCTACATGCAAATTTTCTTGAAACCAAAACATAAAATTTTAAACTTTTTTCATCCTGGAAAGCAAATTTTGTGAAAATCAAAAGCTTAAAACAAACAACAAAGAATCCATAACAATACATAACATCTAAAACTAATAAAATACTCATATCAGTAATCCAATAAACAACAGAATGAATACATATGCATACTTTCTTGAAACCAAAACATAAAAGTCCATCTTAAAAAAAATAAAAACCATAAAAGTCTTATTAAATTTATTTAAAAGAAAACATACACAAATTAATAAAATCAAAAGGTTAAAACAATCAAGAAAGAATTCATAAACACACATAACACCTAAAGCTAATAAAATACCCATATCAAAAATCTAAGAAACAACTAAACTCAGGAGCCAAAGTAAGACATATGCACATTTTCTATAAACCAAATCATAAAATCTCAACCTTTTTCTCATCCTGGTAAGCAAATTTTGCTAAAATCAAAAGCTTCCATATTAGTAATCCAAGAAACAACTAAACTAATATATATGCACACTCTCTTGAAACCAAAACATAAAAGTCCAGAATTTAAAAAAAGAAAAAAAAAAAAATGTAATACTCAATTTATTAAAAATAAAACATACACAAACTAAAAAAGTCAAAAGGTTAAAACAATCAAGAATGAATTCATAAACACACATAACACCAAAAGCTAATAAAATACCCCTATCAAAAATCCAAGAAACAACTAAACTCAGCCACTAAATTAAGACATATGCACATTTTCTTGAAACCAAAACATATAATTTCAAAATTTTCTCATCCTAGTAAGCAAATAGAATTCAATTAAAGAAAAAAATATTACTCATTAAAAGAAAGTATACACAAAAAACTTAATAAAATTGAAAGGTTAAAGCAATGAAGAAAGAATGAATAAAAATAAATAGTGTGGTAAAGCTAATAAAATACCCATATAAAAAATTTAAGAAACAACTAAACTCAGCTACTAAAACTAAACTCATGCAAGTTTTCTGGAAACAAAAGCATGAAAGTTCAAAGCTTTCTCATCATACCTTGACAGTAAAGTCATAAATGGACTTTGGAGAGGGTTCGGAAGCCATTTTGGTAGAGGAAGATGGAGATGGGTACGTGTAAAAATACAAGAAGAGAGCAGAAACAAGAAAAAGAATGGAAACCCAGTTGGCATATCTCAACAAACGCATGCCCATTTAATTATACGAGTTGAATTCGGATAATCTTTCCTTCTAGATGACAAATTTTGTCAGCATTTATGACATTATTGAAACCTTCCTTCTTGACAGCTCGGTAAAGTTGACAAACGTTTGAATCTTATTGTAAATTTGTAATGTTGTTATTGTTTGGAAAATACTTTTACATCCCCACAGTTTTGGATACTATCAAATACAACATTTTATCTTCTCATTACTCTTGGGGGGCGTTTGGTTAGGGGGTATTTGAGATTACTAGGGTTAAGTCATCTTATATTACTTAATTACCATATTTAGTTGTCAAGTAATATAAGATACCGGTAATCTTTAAATACTAATAGTGGTTACTATTGGTAATATTTGAGGTAATTTGATTACCTCCATTTTCTTAGGTATTCTAAGATTACCAAGGTTATCTTTTTTTGTTACAATTCTATCCTTTATTAATAAAATTTTAGGACAATAATGCCCTTATTTTTAAATTTATTTACATGAATATAACTTTTACTATTTTACCCTCAATTAATTAATTTTTTGAACAAAATTACACTTGAATTCAAAACAAATTACAGTCCACCCAAGCCACCTACCGTCGGTAACCATCGCCGTGGCCGTCGCCGACCCCGGAACGATGCACGTAAGGCCAAAAAAGGTCACCGTGCACCGATATGATGGCCAGATCTGTCATCAATCTGACCGTCAATGGCCATATCAGCGCACGACGACCATTTTCGGCCTTCCGTGCGCTGTTAGGTTGCTGGTTGCCAGCTGCTTGTGGTGGTTGGGTTGGTGGGGGTGTTTTGTTGATTTTCTAAACTTTTATTATAGAGTTGTTTTTGCTAAGTTTTTAAATATAGGGGGGCTGTAAAATCCAAATACTAATAATGTTAAAAAATAATATTTAATTAGAAGACAATTCAATAATTTAAATAACATACCCATTAATTTATTTCTCCCAACCAAACATATTAATATAATTTATCCACCAATTAACCAAACACAATTTCCTAAAGATTCCCAATAATCTTTGTGTTATTGAGGTAGTTTAATTTTTTTTAAACAAATTTTCATTATTTTGGTTCTTTGGAACCTGTTATAGTTGTCAATTTGGGACACGGAATTGGTTTAATAGATTTTTATTTTCAATTCGTTTAGCAATAGGCTGGCAGTGAAGGGTGAGTTGAGAGAAAGCAAACTTTTTTCAGTAGTGGTTCTGGTGGCGATTTGGAGTTGGTGGTGGCCAGATTCTTTGTTGATTGATTAAGTTTTTTTCTAGTTATATTCCCTGCCGTCGGCTACCATTTCTTTCGACTATTTTCGATTGTATGAAAAATTAACATCCTATCTGTCTTCACTAATAGATCTTAACAATAGGGTGAGAAACTGTCTAACAGATCTTAATGGTTGGTGGATAATTGTTGTTTTCAAACTATTTGGGTATGAAATGGTGATTAGGGCAAACTTCGGGTGGGAGGATGTCGTTCGGCCTGTAGGTAATCCACAAATTCTTCTTTTAAGAAATATTTGAAGAAATGAGAAAGTCTTAATGGAAGATTTTGTTAGATGGACTTATGGATGGACCGTGGACGTAACCCATCTTAATTGGATGACGTATAACATCTTCACCTAAAGATTTTGGTTTATACAAACGAAAATCAGTTACGTGGATAACATGACGTTGTGTATATATATATAGATAACCATTATTATGAAGGTTACTTTAAATATATAAAAAGTTGTGGTATGGATGACGTAATAAGTTTTTTTTATTTTTTTTATTTTGTAATCGAGGTGTTTAGGTCAGCGTGCGCGTATCTTAACTAATCATTGGGGTCTATTGAATACCCATAAACTCAATAAATCAAGTAAATCACAATGTTATTGGTAAGTGACCCTAAAATTTGAATCCAAAAACTCAAAAAATTAAGTAAACCTCCTTGATTATCAAGCTAACCTTATAAGGTTATAACGCAATAAATTTATCGTGCCTAAAACTTAAAAAAATAGAGCTTGACTACATATAAATAAAAAGAACACACGCGTTACAAAATTCATAAAAGTTTAGATCCAATCATAATTTGTTAAATTTAAATCATGACTTATTTTAATCTTTCCATACATTAATTATACCCATAATATTCTACTTCGTAAGAATATAATAAGAAATTTAATAAAACTTCAGCAAATGTAGTAAGAAAGATCAACAATAAAAAATGACAGGATACAGTAAAACAGGGTGTATTAAATATATTTTTTATAAGGGCATCATTTACATTTTTGAAAATATCGATGCCTGGATGATATAATCTAAACTTTAGGGGTCTAATTTTTTCCTGATATTTTAGAGGTAGTTCTGACAACCACGTATTAAATAGGTATCATTGGCAGGTTGTTGAGATTAGAGGATGCAATTGGACCTACAATAGCCACGGTTCCACCTAATAAAAATGCAGCAGTCACATGAAGACGATGAGGCCATTCTGTTGAGTCTGTTGAGGCCATTTTGTTATGCATTTTCTAGCTATTATTATTCTTTTATCTGTTTTACTATTATTTGTAATCTATAAATATCTATATGCACTGTATACAAAACACGCAGAAAATATATACAGTCTTGGGTCATTCCATTTTCAGCTTTTCTGTTGTTTCCATTTTCTTTACACTATTTTTGCGCTACTCTCAACATGGTATCAGAGCCATGACAGATACACCTTTCGACTCTTAAACCAACGATCCCACAATGCCTTCCAATTCCCAAACCAACCCACAAAATCCTGCCAGCCCCTATTTTGTCCAACCTGGTGAAGGCGCATCTTCTCCATTGGTTTTATATTTGCTCACAACTAAAAATTATGTGGTCTGGGCAAGAACAATGCGTTGTGCTCTCAATATCATAAACAAAATTGGTTTTATCGATGACTCAATTTCTAAACCCTAAAAAATTGCAGATCCCTTGTATGCACATTGGGAACGATGTAATGATATGGTGATAGCTTAGATTCAACATTCGGTTACCTTAGAACACAGATCAAGCATAGCTCATGCCGAAACTGCTGAGGATGTTTGGAATGATCTTCGCGATCGATTCTCGTTTCAAAATGCTCCAAGAATTTTTCAGCTCACCAAGTCCATCTCAGCACTTACACAGGATGATGATTCAGTTTGCCAATACTACAATCGATTGAAAAGTTTCTGGGATGAACTGGAGATTTATGAATCAATGTCGTCATGTTCATGTGGCGCAGTCAAGACCCTGATGGAATATAATCACAGAAGTAGGGTTATGCAATTCCTTATGGGATTACATGACTCATTTGATGCTATTCGCGCCCAAATACTCCTCTATGATCCTCTTCCAACACTAAATCATGTTCTATCTCTTGTCCAACAGGAAGAAAGAAGACGCCAACTTCATTCCCCTTCTACTCCGATTCCAATGGCGGCAAAAGGACCCAACCAATGAAGTCATTCTTCCTTACGCAAGGATCGATTATTCTGTTCCCACTATAACATTTTAGGCCATTCACTGGAATGATGCTTCAAAGCCAACCCCAATCTTCCCGTATGCACACATTGCAACATACCAGGCCATACCAAAGATAAATGCTACAAGCTCAACGGCTTTCCTCCAGGTCACAGAAACAACTCCAGATCTAAATCCTACGCTAATCAATCTTCACTTGAACATGAACAAATCGGCAATGGACCATCTATTACTCAAGAGCAGTACAACCAGCTCATTGCCTTGCTCCAATCCTCTCAGTCTCCAACAGTTACCTCTGTAGCAAACCATGCATGTTCTAGTTCCTCAATCACCGAAATTTCCCTCGTCTCTGGTATTCACTCCTGCCATTTCACACACACATCACACACTTTCACAAAATCATTTTCCTCTTGGATAATTGATACTGGAGTTACATATCACATGATTTGTAGCCCCCATCTTTTCACGCATAACATGTCTTTTGTTTCCCACACCATCAAACTTCCAAATGGCACTACCACATTGGCCATGCATGTGGGTGATATTCATCTCTCTGATCATATCGTTCTCAAGCATGTGCTATGCGTGCTAGCCTTCTCCTTTAATTTGCTTTCAGCTAAATCTTTAACTACACATTCCAATTGTTATCTCATATTTTTTTCTAACTCTTGCTACATACAAGACCTTTCATCTTGGAAGACGATTGGCATGGGGACAATGCATAATGGCCTTTACCATCTTCAACCTTCAACACCAGTTCCCAACGCTTTGAAAATGTTTCTTTCTAATTCTTGTTCTAGCTACGTTAACACCACCAATACTTCAAAGTTTGATGATTACAAATTATGGCATTACAGACTGGGGCATAGTTCCATGACACAACATGTATTAAATGAAATTCAAGGCCTATAAGTTTATCTCAATTCTCTTGTGAAATTTGTCCACTTGCCAAGCAACATAAACTTCCATTTCCTCAATCTATCACCATGGTTACCAAGCCTTTTGATTTAATTTCAGCAGATATTTGGGGACCAAATTCCACACAAGCCTACAATGGCACCCATTACTTTCTTACAATCGTATATCAGTTTACTAGATGCACTTGGATCTATTTGTTGCAAAACAAATCAGAAGCCCGAACTTCAATTCAAAATTTATTTTCCCTTATATCCACACAATTCAACACTCAAATCAAAATAATCAGAACTGATAACGGTGCCGAATTTCATATGCCCAAATTTTACAATTCCAAAGGCACAATTCATCAACTGACCTGTGTTGCCACTCCATAGCAAAACGCTCTCGCTGAGCGAAAACATCAGCATATATTGAACGTCGCTAGAGCCTTAAAATTTCAATAAGGACTTCCTATGCGATATTGGACAGAATTTGTTATCACTACCATCTATTTGATCAACCAAACACCCTCTCCTAATCTACACTACCAATCACCTTTTGAAAAACTCCACAACCAAAAACCCACATATTCCCATCTCAAAACATTCGGCTGCCTTTGTTTTGCGTCTACACTAAACCATGGCCGCTCCAAATTTGAACCCCGAGCTAGAAAATGCTTGTTCATTGGCTACCCATATGGAATCAAAGGATACAAGCTCCTTGACACTACCAGCAATCAGATTTTCCTTTCTCGTGATGTGTTATTCCACAAACACATCTTTCCTCTCAAACACCTCCTGTGCATACAGATTTTAGTGAAGTCCCTCACCAGGAAGATCATGTCTCTTCCCCTACCTCCATCGACAACAATCACAATACCAACCTCACCAACAACACTCCCTCGCCAACCCCACAGCGGTCAACCAGAATTCGAACCGCCCTAGCATATCTCAAGGTTTTCACTGCAATGCATTGTCTCCACTGATGTCGAACTCCAAGTTGGAAGACACTGGATCTCCGTCTCGCACAGGTTTGCATAATCCATATCCCTTATCATCGGTCATATCTTACAAGTTTTTATCTCCATCATTTAGAGCATTTACCACTTCTATCTCCATCCATACCGAACCCAAGTCACACATTCAAGCTCTCAAAGGCCCTATCTGGCGTGAGGCGATGGAGCAAGAACTCACTGCTTTAGAGACTAATGAAACATGGTCCATCGTTGACTTACCTCCTGGCAAGAAACCGATTGGTTGCAAATGGATTTTTCGCAACAAATTCAAAGCTGACAGATCTGTTGAACATGCTAAAGCACGCTTGGTGGCGAAGGGCTTCACTCAGCGTAAAGGAATAGATTTTCACGACACTTTTTCTCCTGTTGCAAAGATGATTTCCATTCGTACTTTGCTTGCTGTAGCTGCCATAAAAGGATGGGATTTGCAGTAGTTGGACATTAATAACGCATTTCTATACGGAGACCTTGATGAAGAATTATACATGTGGCTTCCTCCCGGTCTAGCTTCCTCAAAAGAGAATCAAGTCTATAAATTGAGAAAAAGCATTTATGGTCTTCGACAGGCATCACGACAGTGGAACACAAAACTTTCATCTTCGCTGACCGAGTTTGGCTTTGTGTAGTCTAAGTCAGACTATAGTTTGTTCATCAAACACACGGCTTCTTCTTTTACAGCTCTATTGGTCTGCGTAGATGACATTATTGTCATGAGTTCAGATCAGACTTCCACTGATGAGGTCAAGAAATTTTTGTCTACCAAATTTAGAATCAAGACCCTAGGCTCACTCAAATATTTTCTTGGCATGGAAATAGCTCGCTCAAAGGATGGAATCCAAATTTGTCAGCGCAAGTACACCCTGGATATACTTTCTGAGACTGGTTTACTTGTTGCCCAAACTTCCCCTCTGCCAATGGAACTGAATATCAAACTCCAGAAAGACCAAGGTGATGTGTTTCACGATCCTACTCAGTATCAAAAATTGGTTGGCAAGCTCCTTTACCTGACCAATACACGGCCTAACCTCAGTTACAATGTCAATTTTTTGAGTCAGTTCTTGGAGATCCCACGAGCACCCCATTATAATGCCCTTCTCAAAGTTCTTCGATATCTTAAAGGAACCCCAGGCCAAGGTTTATTTTTTCCTACCACCTCCTCATTGAAACCCACTGCCTACTCCAATGCAAATTGGGCAAATTGTCTTGACACTAGGAGATCAACGACTGGGTTTTGTGTGTTTATTGGCAAGTCTCTTGTTGCCTGGCAATCGAAAAAGCAGAACATAGTTTCACGATCCTTAGCCGAGTCGGAATATAGGGCCATGGCGGTTGTCGTGTGTGAAATCACATGGCTTCGGTATTTTCTCCAAGACCTTTGTGTTACCATTTCTGATCTAGCCACCTTATATTGTGACAACTTAGCCGCGATACATATAGCTGCCAACCCCGTGTTCCATGAGCGCACCAAGCACATCGAGTCGGACTGCCATCTTGTTCGTGACAACGTCTTGGCTGGGCATTTTGCCATTGCCCACGTTTCTTCTTCTGAGCAGATGGATGATCTCTTTACCAAACCCCTCCATGCTCCAACACTCATGCGACTATTGTCTAAGATGGGAGTACTAAATATATACTCTCCATCTTGCGGGGGGATGTTGAAATTAGAGGATGCAATTGGACCTACAATAGCCACGGTTCCACCTGATAAAAATGCAATAGTCACATGAAGACGATGAGGCCATTCTGTTGAGTCTGTTGAGGCCATTTTGTTATGCATTTGCCAGCTGTTATTATTCCTTTATCTGTTTTACTGTTATTTGTAATCTATAAATATCTACATGCACTGTATACAAAACACGCAGAAAATATATACAGTCTTGGATCATTCCATTTTCAGATTTTCTACTGTTTCCATTTTCTTTACACTGTTTTTGCGCTACTCTCAACACAGGTAGTTAGTTAAAATTTTTATCGATACCCGGTTCTTGACCCATCACAATCTGTCACATAAGATTTAGTAAAGACGTAGGGACATAATAGTCAATGTGTACATGTGGTTGCAAGTGTGAAAGATTTTCTTCCAATTAAATATAGAAAATATATTAGAATAAAATAAAGCTTTTAAGTTTGAATTTCGGATGCGTTTGATTAAGGGAATGTTGTATTACAAGGGAATGTTGTATTACTGGAAAGATATATTACTAATGAATCTTTAGAGAAATGTGTACCTTTGCAAGAATGGAGACAAGTTGCTAGTAAGAAGAATATGAATGTCCCTCGAGAAGTAAATAAGGAAAGGGTAGAAGGAAAGAAGGAAGGTGAGACCCCTAAACCTTGTGAGAGTGTGAACCAATTTGTGGTGCTATCCGAAGAGGGTGAGGAAAAGAGAGATTTTGCCGATGCAGAGGAGAGGAAGAAAAGGAATGGTATTGAGGAGGGGCTGGAAAGAGAAACAGATCATGGTAGAGCGGTTTTGGGGGAGGAACTCGCAAATGCCAATGAGGATAGAGATGAGAGAACTCCAACTACCAAGGCTGTTTTCTTGAATAAGTCTGAGGAGGGTGATATGGGATCTAGCTCTCTAATTTGTCAACCATTTGGGAACTTGGTGTGTGTGGATGAAAAGGAAAGATTGGAGAAGGAAAAGGGAAGCTTTTCTAAGAATCAAAGGAAGAAACTAGCGAAGAAGGTGAGAACTCCACCTAAGCTACCTTTTAGCCATGGTTAAATTTTCCTAGGTGAAGACATTACCCCACATTCAACAATATAGGAAGAATGATCCGAAATGCTTGGGGGAAGGAAATTGGCTTTGGAATTACCAAACACATTGCCCCACTTTTCATTCACAAGAGCTCGATCAATCTTAGTAGTAATCCTATGTTCCCCTTCTCTCATATTACTTCAAGTGAAAAAGTTACCCATAAACCGAAGGTCCTCAAGCCTAGTCTCATTACACATATTATTCGAGTCCGAAACATAATTTCTCCACCTATAAGAACCCCCTATTTTCTCATGCCCAAATCTCATCGCATTGAAATCACCCATAATCACCCATGGTATTTCCTCAAAATCTTGAGCTTTACCCATCAAGTCTCTCCATAGTTATTTCCTTTCCAACGGACCATTAGAGCCATAGACAAATAAGCAAACAAAGAAGAAATTAGAGTCCAAAATAACAACCTTACCTGGATGGCTTGAGTCATAGATTGTATGATTTCAAACCTCACCAAACTAGGATTCCAAGCAACCCAAATTCTACCATTAGAGCAGCACACATAGTTATGAATTACATCTCATCCCCTAAAAGTCAAGGACTTAGTAACCTTAAAATTTGGTTCACAAACTCTAGTTTCCAAAATACCATAAAGCGCAATCTTATTGGAAGAGATTAGATGTCTAACCTCTTTTTGTTTCAAAGGGGAATTAAGACCCCTTACATTCCACGAAGCAAGCTTAATCGTGGGACGACTTGAAGTTTGGGGCTTTTCTCGCCTTCCTGGCTAGTCTCGTCCTTTGGCTTTTAGAGAGACCTATATTTCCCTCCTTAAGACCATCATTTTCATCGACTCGTATCAAATTTCCGAATCTCACTATAGCCAGTGAAGTAGTCCCCATTTCACACCGCTCATGGTTTTCCATCAAGGGTCCTCTTGGTGGGGTTATTTCTCCTCTGTTGTCACCAGCACTTAAAACATTCAACCTTTTGCTTATTTTCAATCCTTTCTCTTCTATGTTAGGAACACTCACCCCACATTCATTCCCGTTATCACACTTACCCCTATTATCACACGCACCTCGATTATAAACCCTGTTAAGATCAGCCACATTAGGAACATTAACCCCACTCATTTCACCCTTATCTTTTCCAATCCTACCTTCAACATTCTCATTACTTTTTTTTTTTTTTTTTTTTTTTTTTTTGGGTTAGTAAGATTTTATAGAAACGGGGAAAGAATGTACAAAATGCCTAAAAGTCAGCCTACCTACCTCAGGACAAGCCTTGGGTTAGGAGCAAAAGAATGATATTATCTAAGTCTACCCCTAATATACTCTTTTTCCCATTCCTCTTGTCAAAGAAATGGACCCAAGCGGAGATTGAAGAATATAATGAATCCCACCTACCACAGGACATGCCCTGGGTTAGGTTCAAAAGTATCAAAATACAAAAACCATATGCATAAGCATTTACAAGAAGAATTCCATAACTAAGGACATTAACAAGATAGGGCCGGTTAATGACACAAAGACAAAGCACTAGATCAACGCCCCAAGTCTTCCAAAAGTAGCCTTGTTTAGCATAATCAACCACCTGGATGTCATATAACCAAATCTTAAACCACTGAAAACCCATCACATAACAACAAACCATAAAATTAGCTCCCATGGGATGTTTAAAAAATAGACATAGGGAGACCCCATTTCTTGGCAAGTCTTCTATTGTAGGTATTCTTTATGATCTTGCTAAGGTCCATAGCTCTCACCCTCACCATATTCTTGATGGAGTTGTACAGAGTATGTGTATCCTTGCATTCCCCACCAAAAATCCGGCTATTCATCTCTTTCCAAATAGAGTAAATGGTGGCTCCCAAACATAGCTTCCCTATAGAGTACTTTACCTTATTCTTCCTCCACCTACTAGCTATGTGCTCAACATAATCTTTCCAAGGCCGGGGTGACATACCCAAGAGAAGAGGGCTCAAGGCTACAGTTTCAAATCCTTTGGGTAAAAGAACAAGCAAAAAACAAATGATCGGTCGTTTCTTGCCCATGATTACAAAAACAACACACATTGCTAGAAGTTATTCCATAACTCATCAGCTTGTCCCTAGTCTACAGCCGATCCTTACATGCCATCCAGGTGATCTTGGAGTGTCGTGGATTAGCTTTTGGGAACCATACAAGGTGATGCCACTCCATTCGATGTTGGTGCACACGAGTAACCTCCCAAGCCGATTTAATAGAGAACTTACCGGATGTATTAGGCTTCCAAACAACCACGTCCTTGCCTTCCTTTGGATCAAAGTCAATAGAATCCTTCATGTCCATCAAAGCCCAAGAATTAGCCGTTGGCTATTTCCACCTTGTCTCATCCTAAATCTCACATACCTTAGCAAGATGATATAGCCCCGAATCATAAACAATGCAGTTGCCATATCTATCCTTGAGAGGGTCTCTTGGGTGCCAATTATCATGCCAAACATAAGTTGCTTGACCATTTACGATGATGGCTTTGATATGCTCTCTAGCTTCCCTTCTAAGCTTCAAAATGCTCCTCCAAGCCCAAGAAGCATCCGAAGGTATAGGAATCTCCCAAAAACTCTTCCTTGCCAAGTAGGTTGCTTTGATCCACTCAACCCATCCGGAGCCACTATGTATTTGATTAAGGTTCCAAACATGTCTCATCATGGCTGCCTTATTCCAATCTTTAGCTCTC